ACTTGAGGAAATAGATCTAAGAAGATAATAAATTCTCACTCCAAGACAGACTTTACATAAGCTTGGTTATGGACCCCATATCATCATTCATTTTGCCACGCATTAATATCTTTTTCATGCTTTTTGAGGTCCTATAACTTAGTGCAATCAATTTGTCAGCTGAATTGTCAGGGCAACTCACCTTCTCAAGAGAAATTTTAGTTCTGGTTTCTTCTCACTCAGCCTTGGCTTTCCTGATTAATCTACCACAGTGTCTTGACCTCTTGATTATCTATTCAGCCCAAGACTTAGCTTACCCCAGGAGCATTTTTGTTCAAGAATTCTTAACTTTGTTCCTGTTCCTCCTTGCTACCTATTGCTCCCTGCAGTCCTCAACTTCCTTGACAAGAAAACTAAACACTTTGACCAGTGCCTCAATTCAAAGTAACTCAACTAGTAACTCCAAACAATGTTTGCTGTTCCATCCTCTTTGATTCTCTGATTCTCCTGGCAGGCTCTAAATGCATGGTTGCTTCTATTCTTTCCAGCTGTAAGCCAAGAGTAGTCAAACCGATTTTTCCTGAAGATACGGGTAATTACAATAGTGAAGGGATGGCGTAATGGGAAACGTAGGGTGTCCTTTAAGGTATATATCAAATCTTTCCTACTATGGAGCCTGAGGCCTGGAGCCAAAAATTATTGAATAGCCTGTCTCCAACATTTGCTCTGCATGTGTCAGTTTAAAGCCATTTCAGACACATCATCTTCACAAGAATCCAGATGCTATAATTTGCCTACCATCCTCCTTCCCAAGAAGATGCCCATTTTGTTCAGTACTCACCCTCCAAACAATGGCCATATTCTACAGGTGAGTTTTTCTGCCATCCTCCACTCCTGCCACCACCAGTTTAGGGGTGTCTTTCCTTTTATCCAGGATCAGGTGATATAAATATGGCTAAAAGGAGTGAAAGAAAGTCAGCTATGAGGGGCTCTGGAAAAGGTTTCCTTGCTTTTCAAAATAGACCCAATGACAGATACCTCATTTTAGGCTCTGAAGATTGCCCCGTGTGGATGGTAATTTCTGGGACCACTGATGTCTCTCTTTTGTTTTTTTTTTTTTTTTTTTTGAGACAAAGT